CCCGAACAAAAACATTGTCAGAATAGTCCTCAATGATATGGGCAAAGGAATTCATACCCTACTTGCTTCTCTATCCCATCTCTTAATTACTTTACTATAGCAACTATCCCTCACCAGGTTGTGTTCATATCAATTGTTGTACACAAAGCAGCACTGTTTCTTTTGCAATCTGTAGTAAAGTCAAACTTTTAGACAAAGGATTGCATCCAAGCACTGCATTTAGAGTCAGTGGACCTTTAAATTTTAGTTTTCTCTTCCTCAGACTAATTCAGGAAATGTGATTACTTGTTCCTTACTCTGCTAGAACTCATTGGGGATTGCCAAATTATTCAAGATGATCTTGTATTATGTTGATTACTTGGAAAAGCAAATATATTTTTAAAAATTCAATGAACTGAAACACAAATAGGTATTGAACAATCAACCCAAACATACCGTCTTTTACTCGGACTGACAGCTATTAATACAGAAAGGTATTCAGATTTCATACAAAAATGAGTATAATCATGGACATTAAAACTCATGAGCAAATCTCAGGCAAGTAGGCAAATATAAGCTATATCACTTCCTTAAAGTCAAAGTCAATGTACAAATATTGGTAAATCTGAAACAGCATTCAATGAGAAGTACATTTGTGTGAACTCATCAATTGGTTCTCTCTAGCTGGTCAAGTAATATTGTGTGGCAGGACAAATGTGTATTTAGAAGCATGCAGGATTACCATATTCAATGCACACTAATGAAATTGCAAAAGCTTTTGCTAATACTCTGTTTTAATCCTTTGCAATGTCAAAAAGCATCCAAAGCACAAAGAACTCAGAATTAATGATCTTGTACAGAGTATGTACATACATTACTCACATCCAAGGATGCATAATGCAAACGGATCAAGCACACTTTTGGACTGGAACTGAACAGCAATATTGTTGCAAAGTAACAGTTTTTACCAAATTGGCATATTTACCTTAGATACATTGTAGGATGTGAAAATGTCACTACTGCAAAATTAATAAGTGTCAAGCAAAGTGGAAGCTGCATAATCCCAGCCCAAATGCAGACCAGGTTCTTCCAGGATGACACTCAGTAATGAGAATTAACCGTCAATTTAAAAAAAAATTAAAATGTCCTAGGCATTGTAGCTCAACACGAATCTCGTGCGTTTGAGATTTTGGATGGTTAATATTTAAAATAGATTCACACTTGCAAACAGATGCAGATGACTAAATTTAAAAAAAAAAAATCACATCAATTCTACTTTGCTGCAACTTTTTTCATGAAGTTATGTAACTTCATTTATGTAACTTCAGTATAACTTATCAAATGCACCCACAATTCCATTAGCTGTATTGAAAAATAATTTCATTTAGTTGTAAATAAATTGCGTGGGACACCTCCTTCAGTTACTTCGTCTTTATCTGTACACAGTGCATGAATTATCAGTTCTTAAACTTAATGTTTTACTTAGTTTCTTTTCCTAGATCGACAGAACCAGTTTATCCATTAAGAGATTTATATAAAGAAAACTGTACTCTATTCATATGGAGATCTTAAGGTCTCTTAGGGTTCACATTCACGATATGATCAAAGGCAAAATGAGATTTTAAAATTAAACGAGAAACATCTTGTTAAAGAAGTTTCAATAAATGCAAAAAACTTAGTTTGCAGGAAGTTAATTGTTTGCTGTACTAATAAAATCCAAAAATGCATATATTAACAGTACAGGTCTAGAAGCTGTTTATACTGCACAATGTACAGCTCTCAATAGATACTACGCTAGACTGAGCAGACTTGTGTAAGATTTTCTGTTAAAACCATTGATGATTTATGAAATACAACCAAATCAGAACAAAACAAAATTCACAAGGCAGAAAGGCCACAAAGTGCTCAAAGATTTTTTGTCATACGTTTTAACATATACTGGAGCATTACACACGTTTTTCTTCAAACTGCTCCATCTGTAGCATATTAACTTTTTTGTAGTTAACTGTGGGCTGATTACTTTATAACGCATTTTTTAAAATAGTAAATTTTGGTTTTTCAAGCAATGCAGCCTACATTTATCCCACAATAAGTAGATACAACATTAAGGGAACACTAAACAAATAAATTTTACATTATCTCGCTTTACATGTCAGATTTTAAGGCAAGTAAGCCACATCTAAAAATATTTAGGTATCAGATTTCTGCAGTCAGGTATTGAAGTAACTATTTCATGGCAGTGTAATATGGGAATCTGTTCCCATCAAGGAAATTACAAAACCACCATTTTTCTGCCGAGAGGGGTTTGTATATCAGGATCCTGACCAGAAGTGACTCATTTTGAATGTTATTCAAGAATTATAAAAAATAAACCCTAGCATCATGATCTCAACTTTGATTGAAAAATTTGATAAGTTTTCATTTGTCTCATCATTAAAATGGTTGCTGTAAACATTATGGGTTAGGATCGCAACCTGAAAATTGACTGCTGCCAATAAAATGGCAACATGTACATGGTAACAAGGGTAGATTCTATCCCCACCACACCAGTAGTGTCAGGTGAGTGAGGAGGTTGTAAAGAATTAAAAATGCTATTCAAGTCAAATGATTAAAATTGGGAGGTATGCAAAAAGAATAATATTGATCAAATAATGAAATAAGGAATCCCAAGATAATGTAAAATTTAAATTGTGTTCAACTGTTCCCTGCCAAATGAAGTAATTCGGTCTTTCCAATTCATTGCCATAGTGATGAATGCCAGCCTCTGGATTGGAGCAGATTTTCTTCAGGAATCAGAGAGAGACTTAACAACAGATTAAATCTTCATAACCGACTCGTACTTCTCGGTGGTAAAAATCTATTTTGGGTTTTCTGGTCCAGTCAAATCCTTTGGTCTTCCATGTTCTTACATTAAAACAGCATTTCCATTATCCTTCAAGCAGGTAAACTACAAGCTCATAGGTGGCCATCATTATAGCGGTGTTTGGAATCTGTCTGACCAGATGAGTGATAAGACCTCGGTAGAGGGATCTGTAACCTTCTTCAGTTATTACTAATGAGAATGTCTGAAAAAACGATCTGTACTTTGTTCCTTCTTCTCGTAGCCTTGTTCTTATGACCTCTGTGTAAAAAGAAATTTAAAATAAATCAATTTATGGTTAAAACACAAGAATCCTCATAGTGCCATTGTTCAATCTCATTCCACCTAGGATGTTTGCAGCCTCAATATTTTAATTTCAGTCTGTGCTAGAAATTCACAATGCCACTCAATTTATTTCATTTGCCATGACTGTATGCCCCCACCTTCCCCCAACACATTTGGGTCTGTTTGGCTACACATCTGTAGATGTGATTTAGAGAACATCACATTAGTTCTGAATAATGCAACTTTCCAAGCAATGTTGAAAAACATTAGAAAAAGGAAGAATTTGGTGATATGATTCATGACAAAAATAAAGTCAAAGTCAAAGTCAATGACTTTAATTTTACATCTAGGTTACCGAGCCCTAATTTCATTTCATTTTCTCATCAAGATCCATCGGAGGGGATCTCCCATTCGTCCACAGTTTACAGGCAGGTATGGCTTACCAGACCTAATATTTAATGGTTCATTTAATACAATATAAATTACAGTATTATATAACTTGTGGACCTCTTAAAAACTTTTCTTCATACGTTCAACTGGGAAAAGAAGTGAAGTAGGTGTGGCTTTGTACTCGGGCAGAAACTGGTTTTCACAAATTAAAGTCCCGCCAAAGTACCAACACATCTCATGCCCCAGCAAGGGACTGAACATTCTGGACCACTGCTACACAACCAAAGATACCTACTGCTCCATCCCCTGCCCACACTTCAGAAAATCAGATCACAGCGCTGTGTTCTACCTCGCAGCTTACAAGCAAGATCTGGGACAGGAGGATCCTTCACAAAAAGGAAGTACAATGCTGGTCAGAGGCAGTAGAAGACCGTCTCCAGCATTGCTTGGAATTGGTGGACCAGACCGTGATCGAGTGCTCAGCAGAAAACCTAGATTAGTGCACCACCATCACAGACTACATAACAAAGTCATCAATCCAAGTGTTCCCCTAATGTAAACCTTGGATGAACCAGGAAATCCACTCCCTACTGAAGACCAGACGTGCAGCATTCAAATTGGATGAGACAGACCAATTCAAGAAATCCAGGTATGACCTCCACAAAGCCATCAGGGATGCCAAGGGGCAGTACTAGACCAAGTTAGAGGCCCAAACCTTAAAAAAAGACTCCCGCCACCTATGGCCAAGGCCTAAACAACATTACGGAATACAAAATGAAGCAGAGCAAGATAGCAGACAAAGACACATCCCTACCTGATGCGCTCAATGCTCGGTTTGAGCAGAATGCCAGCAGTGCGGTGACACCTGCCCCGGCAGCCCCAGACACATCTGTTCCCTCCATCACTGCTGCAGAGGGCGTTTCCCACAGTTTCTCAAGGAAAGCAACGGGCCTGGACGGTGACCCCAGCTGAGCACTCAGATACTGTGCGGACCAAATGATGGAGGTAGTCACTAACATCCTCGACCTCTCCCTCCTACAAGCCAAAGTCCTCACCTGCTTCAAGAAGGCCACCATCTTTCCTATACCCAAGAAATCACATGCAACGTGCCTTAATGAGTACCGCCCAGTGGCTCTGACCTCAATAATCATGAAGTGCTTTGACAGGCTGGCCATGGTCCAGCACATCAACTCCAGTCTCCCAGCCTGCCACGATCCCCTACAATTTGCCTACCAATGTAACAGGCCCACAGCGGATGCTGTATCCGTTGCCCTGCACTCATCCTTGGAACATTAGGACAAGGACACCCACGTCAGACTCCTCTGACTATAGCTCCACCGTCAACACCATTATCCCCTCCAGAATGATCTAAAAACTTTGACCTGTGCGTCAGCTCTGCCCTCTGCGACTGGATCCTCAGCTTTCTAACCCACAGACCGAAATCAGGTAACTGCACCTCCTCCACAATAACACTCAACGCTGGAGCCCCCCCACCCCAAGGATGTGTCCTCAGTCCCCTACTGTGTGCCCTGTACACCCACAAATGTTGCCAAACTCCAAAACGAATGCCATCTACAAAATTTGCTGATGACACCACCGTAGTGGGACAGATATCTAACAAGGACATGTCAAAATTCAGAAGGGAGATAGAGGGCTTTGTGATGTGGTGCAATGAAAACAACCTCTCTCTCAACAATCGGGAAAACTAAAAGAACTGATCGTTGACTTCAGAGGAGAACACGTCCCCATCTACAGCAACAGAACAGAGGTTGAGAGGGTGGAGAGCGTCAAGTTCCTTGGAGTGACAATAACCGACAACCTGTCCTGGACTCCCCACATAGATGCGACAGTCAAGACGACACAGCACCTCTTCTTCCTCAGACGGCTCAGGAAATTTGGCATGTCCATAAGGCCCCTCACTAACTTCTACAGATGCGCCATTGAAAGTGTACTGTCCGGGTGCATAACGGCCTGGTATGGCAACTGCTCTGCCCAGAACTGTCAGAAACTACGGAAGGCGGTGTGCACAGCCCAGCCCATCACAGAAGTCAACCTTCCATCCATGGACTCTATTTACACAGCTCACTGCTGCAGAAAGGCGGCCAACATCAAAGACCTATCGCACCCTGGTAACGATCTCCTACGACCTCTTCAGTCAGGCAGAAGATACAGAAGCCTGAACACATGCTTGAGCAGGCTCAGGAACAGCTTTTTCCCAGCCATTATTACACTGAAATGGACTCACTAGCCTCAAATAATGCTGATCTTGCTAATGTTGATCTCGCCTAGCGATACCCTGTGCAATATAACCTGAATACCTCAAAAGTCTGTTGGATCCACAGATCCTTGCTTACTATGATCTGCTTGTACTGCTCACAAAGCTTTTCACTATATACTTTGGTACACATGACAATACCTCAAAGATATGCCCACAAAATTATATAAAGGGGGAATAAGGGGTTAGTAAGATAGCAGTAAGGATGTACCAATCGAATATTTTATTCAAAACCCACTATAGGTTTAGCCTATAATAATAAACAAACAACCAACAGCAACAAGGGGAGGGAGAGGGAGAGGGAGAGGTTCAGATGCAGAAAAAAAAACTAACCATGAGGATATGCTATACTGGTGGCACACGATTTAGATGTCGCAGCAGCCAACATTAGGGCAATAAAGTCCGAAGCATATTTTACAGAATCTTCTTCAGGATCCATGTTTGAAGAAGACTTTGATTGCAACAGTTTTTGCTTTATGCTTTCATAAATTACAAAATGAATCACAGTCTCAGAGATGCCAGCATAGGAAGCAGACATTCCTCTGTAGAAGCCTCTGATACCATCAGACTGATATACTTTTCGCACACATTCAAAAGCATTCATTCGCCTTTCACCTCGGTTCCTATAAAAGGAAAGACAGACAAAATAATGTCAATTTAAACATCTTTTTCCTCAATACCTTCTGAACTGTCCAACAGAAACAGAATTACAGTGCTGCAGAATTCTAGATCTTGGCAAAGTGATCAATCCTTTCTAAATGTCAAAATAGGTGCCATCGGTTTAACAGTGAAAGTACACAGCTTAAGATGCTTTGCAATTGAGATAAATGCTTCAACAGGTTTGCCCCAGTATTAAAGAAAAAATGTTTTTCTGAAAGAGGGAATGAAGGGTTGCAAGCCTGGGATATTGGTAGAGCAGGAGGAAGTTAGATCAATCAAGGCTTGAACAAGAAATGGAATGTGCAGTGGTGAGACAGGATGGTGAAATACTCAAAACAATAGGGGAAAAGGACCAATGAAGAAAAATAACTAAGTAATGTGTGGAGAGTCTGGAACAGTATCAAAATATGTACACAAATTCAACATTAATATCACAAAAATAAAACACGAGTTCCAATGCTATACAGATTAGAAAGGTAGGTTTATAGGAAAAACAGGCTATTTAGCTCCTCAAACCTGTTTCACCATTTAATAAAATCATTGCTGACCTGTGACCCAATGACCTATTCCATTCTTTCCCAATCTCAAAAAACAATTTATTATCAAAGGCACATCATCTCAGTTTAAAATATAGCAATTCAAGCATCAATTGTCATTTAGGGAGACAGTTCCAAGCTTCTACTAATCTTTGCATGTCGAAGTGTTTTCTAAATTCACTTTTGACACTTGTTTAACTCTCTGATAAAGGAACAATGTTAATTTGAATGAAAATATGTAGCATGTTAACAAACTTTTCCTTTCTCCCAATAAATATAAAAGAACGACATTAACCGAAGTAAAAAGTCTTATTTACCGCGCTTCCAGTTGCAAGCGTGTCTTTATTAGCCAGATTGGATTGGTGGCTGTAATAGCCGTAAAGCCTAGGAAGAAATAACAAATACTGAAACCAGGACTACGAACATTGAACTCAAGAGCATGATATAATTATCTGCTCAAGTTAAAAAACAGGTTTAAACGTTGTAGGTAGAATACACATGGGCAATTTAGGAAATTGGTAATGTTTTCATTTCAAAACAGGCCTATCCCCCCAGGTTAATTAAAAGAACAAAACGTGACTGATATGACGCAACAAAAAATAAAACAAACAAAACACATGCATAGGTAGGACTTCTCTTAGGTAAATTCTACTCCTCTCCCAGATTAGAAGGAATAGCCCCGGAGAGCAAAAAGGGTGATTTTTGTTTAGGGTGTGTGGTGGTGGTAGTCTAATGGATGCACATGACGAGAACTGTTGTGGTCGTAGGGGGATTGAAAGAGCCTTCTTTTTGAATGCTTTAATCTTAAGAAGAACTTTCCCAAAGATAGAAAAAAGGCTCTATTGTAACTTTACTACCAGAGAAAGGTACTCATCAATTGCTGATGCCACTAAAGTCCATCATTTACTTCTTGCATTGAATGGAAATTATAAATATCTGAATATGGTTGGACGTAATTAAAATAATAAGTCAAAAAAGCTAATCCAAGGCAAATTCTTTTTACAAGAACTTGGAATATTTGATTTCATTTCAAATTTAATTTTTAAAATTTGGAGAGTTCTAACAGCTCGTCAGGCAAAAGCAAACAACCTGTAAAGATTGTGAATTAAGAACAATTATCCAAGTTTATTCATGGTTGTTGATCGCTGTTAGAAGGGCAGTCAACTGAACTAAGTCATCCCCAGGATGAACAGAGTTAGCTTACATTCCTTCCACTGGCCCTTTTACAATCAGAAAGTTGGACATGTGTTAGTGAAGATAAGAGCACCACAACGATCGTGCATGGTAAAATAACCTATCGATACTCATTGTGTAGGATGACATTGACAAACAACAAATTGAGCATGGTCGCAGAGGGCTGTTATGTTCATAACCAGTACAAATCAACTTCCCTTGGAAATGGAGGAAAGAAAATTAGAAGAAGCACGAACCATTTGCTGGCACCTGACACACACCACAGTTGTGTTAGTTGCTCACGGGAAAATGAACAGGAATAATACGCACCTCAAATGAGGACGCGTACACAGAAAAAAAAAAAAGGTATATTTATGCCAATTAAATCTACAAACAATTCTTAACTGAGAAAATATTGATTAAGCATATCATACATTACTATGGAGAAATTAGCTCAATCTCAAAACATTTACGTTCAAGTTAGATTTTAAAAAACACTGCAAAGTGTTTCTTTGCATGGATGTACAAGTTCCAACTGTCAACTAAATGTCCAGGAAGCTTTTGGTGTTGATTTTCAACTTTGCAAGAAAGACAACCCAACTAATTCCTCCTGTATTTGCCATACAGCAAATGATCATCGTCAGCTTGTTAATTCTGCTTTTAAAAATTCTTAAAATCGTTTGAGTATCAAGTAGCAATAGGTTTAATTTTACAGCTCGCTGACCACACCAAGCTCCTGTCACCAACACGGTCAGAAGTAACATTTCAGCTGGGAAAGGACCATGCCACTGTCACCAGTTATAGTTTCGTACATGATATATGAGAACATAGTCATAACTGGGAGCTGGTCAGGGGGTTAAAGCAGAGAGATGAACTGGTGATGTAGGTGTCATGGGCAAAGGTCAGCATTTGTTACCCATTCCTAGCTGCCTATGATATAGCATTAGTAGACATTATTTTTAAATCATTACAAAGTGATAGACAGAGCAAGTGGGTGTGTGCGAGTGCGAGGCTAAGAACATTAGTGAGCGAGTAATCCTTTGTCAGTTACTGATTTAAGAGTGAAATCTAGTTAAGAAATTTACCCGTTTTGGTGTTGGACCATGGTTACGTGCAAGGTAGAGTTATGGGTTTCCTACCATAAAACAGGATTAGTCTAATTGGGTTTAGAAAATTCCTAGAATTTTTTCTTCAGAATTGCCTAAGACAAGCAGACATCGAGAAATGATCTCCACCATTTATTTCTGAATCTGAAGGTTACTGTATTGAATGTTTTAAGTGGTGGCTTGGCATAGTGTCACTAAAATACACACAGCAAGAGTTTATTTACATACCAGACATGAAATAAAAGAAGAAATGCACTATGCACTTTCAAAAATGAAAAGTTGCATCCAAAATCTGGAATAACAAACTAATAAATACTACCGGTACACATTACACGATAGGCTGCAATCAGTGCTCGGTTCAGTACTCAGAGTTAAAGCTAGCCGTTATTTCTGCTTACACTGACGATAGGATGTGACCTGCTGGTGTGCAGCATGGGATGACAGGATTTCACGCTTTTCTTGGGAGAAATGTACAGTATGCCTAAAATAGACACAGGCTTTCTGTATCACAAGAAGGTGACCTTATGAGATGAACTTGCAATACTGTACCTTTTGGTCGAACTCAAATAATTAATTGCAAGTCTCATTCAAGTTGAGATTTCTCCCCCCTCTTGAACGACTGAATTAAAAAAAAAAAAACAGGGCCAAAAGGTGATAGTGAAAAAGTTTATCCTTAAACATTGGAGTACTGAATTTTTTGCTATTTGCAGCATAGCTTAGACCAGAAAATACCATTAATGGAACGCTCTTACAAAAGACTGTTACAGAAAGATGGAAAATCATTTGTAAACAAATAAAAATGCTAACCTTGTCTTATAACTGTAGCAAATACAGACAGAAGTCAAAAAAAAGTGTACATCAGAAGCCTTACGTTATTACATTTTCATTTGTGGAAGAGAGTCTACAAAGTAACCATATAATAAAAAAACTACAATTATCTGCAAAAACCCTATTATCTTGGAATATCCTGGTTTGTGCTCAGTGACATTGCCAAGCAGGATAACAACATGTTAAAAAAATAGGAATGCTTATCAATGGCAATGTTAATAAACCCCTGCTCACGAGACAACAATTTTGTTTCAACAATAGAATATATTTGCATTGAAAATAAAACCACCAATTTTATTTGGATATGGCCATACGAACATAAAACAATTTGGTTAAATACTTTTCTAAACTCTTGCATTTCGTTATCAAAAACTCATTAAATTTTGCAACTCGTTTCTTGTTATTGTATTGATCAGAATCCTGTCAGTTTTTTGGTATTTCATTGAGGAATCTGTCCATTCCCAACAAAAATCAAATGTATTCACTCTTCTCAAACAAAGCAATATTATAAATAGAACAAACATCACAATGCTCAGGGTAAAAGTCACATTAGATTAATCTCTTGCACACAAATCGTTATATTCTATTCAAGGGTCAAAGGATGAAATGTTGTCTTGTATGGTTTGTACTGGAGTAACCTTTGTTTAGTTGTTGGTTAGAGACAATTTCTATCTATTAAAATTCATGCAATCACATCAATAAATATTTTGTGCTTGCCAAATTTAATGAATTAGTTGGGTCAAAGACAGATAATATACCTCAAAAGTTTTCAAAGAGCCACATCATGATCAAAAAATTCAGACTAATCATTGCAATGTCTGTTCCAGCCTCTGGTCTTTTACACGGTCAAAGAAAAAGTTACTAACAGTTGGTCCAGGAGACTTGGAAACAGTAAGGACTACAGATGCTGGAAGCCAGAGTCAACAGATGCAAAGCTGAAAAAACACAGCAGGTCAGACAGCAGGAAAGTCAACGTTTCAGGCCAGAACTCTGAAGGGTTTCAGCCTGAAACATTGACTTTCCTGCTCCTCAGATGCTGTCTGACCTGGTGTGCTTTACCAGCTTCACATCTATTAACAATTGGTCCACTTTGGGCAACTCAATTACACCTTTTGTGATTTTGTACAAAGCCACGCATTCTGGGATAGTAAAAAGTCTAAAATAAGAGCTGTATGCCAAGTGTAAGAAATACTTTCCAATCATATCTTAACTTGCTATGGCTCACCCTGAGCATTACCGGCAAATGTAGTTATCCACACTGAGCTTCAGCATGCTACTCAACCAAAAAATGCATGTCAGAAATAGTGTATTCCAACTTCAAATAGGTACAATTAACAAAAAAAATAGTTCCCAACAGATACGGTGGTCATATGCAATTAGATCTCATGATTGTTTCTTTTGGAAATTTTTCATTGACTTTTTAAAACAATTAAGGCGAAATTTATTAATGTTCTAAAATTCATGATAAAGAACAAATTGAGTTCACAAGCAAATTCTTTTCATGCATGTCCTGAGATCATAAATTGGGGATATTCTCACTTTAGAAGCGCTCCATTGACCATACTACCAATATGTGGTGCCATCAAAATTTTTAAACCCATTGTGAAATAGACTGCCTCCATGTCTCTGTCCCATTTGCCAATATCTCTGTCAGTACCGCGTTCTTGTTGCAATGTTCTCTTTTTCTACTATAATTTCAGTGGCACAGTTTAAAAACAGGCATGCAAATTGGCAAGAAAAAAAACAAGACATAAGAAATTGGAACAGTTTAAAAATCAGCAAGAGGACGACTACAGGATTGATTGCTTTGAAAACAGTGTGACAGTAAGCTTGCAGAACTGACTGCAGAAGTTTCTACAGGTAAGTAAAGAGAAAAAAAGATTGGTGAAAACTAATTGGATCTCTTACAGTCAGAAACAGGTCTATTTATAAATAGGAAATATAGAAATGGCTGACAAACTAAATTCATATTCAGGTCTGTCTTCACAAAAGAGGATATCAATAATATACCAGAAGTAATGGGGAACACAGGATTTAGTGAGAAGAAGGAACTGAAGCAAATCTGTATTAATAAGAAAATGGCACTGGAGAAACTGATGTGATTCAAGGCTGATAAACCTCAGGACCTGATAATCTACATCTCGGAGTACATAAGGAAGTGGCCTTAGAAAGGAAGAGTGGATGCATTGGTGGTCATCTTCCAAGATTCTTTAGACTCTGGAACACTTCCAACAGACTAGCTACTCTCCAATGTAACCCCATTAACTAAAAAAGGGAGGTAGAGAGAAAACAGGGAATCACAGACCAAATGAGTCTGATATCAGTAGCAGGGAAAACGCTAGAGTCCACTATCAAGTATTTTATAACAGAGCCCTTAGAAAGCAGTGGCAAGGTCAGACACAGTTGGCACGGATTTACGAAAGGGAAATCATGTTTGGAATTTTGAGAGCACATATTAATGGAGTCGATCGGAAGAGCCAGTAGATATGGTTTATTTGGACTGCAGGCTTTCAAAACAAAAAAAGTCCCACGCAAGGGATTAATGTGTAAAATTAAAGCACATAGGATTGGAGTACTCAGAGATAGAAAATTGGTTAGTAGACAGGAAGCAAATTAGGGAAAAAAAAAGGTCTTTTTCTGAATGGCAGGCACTGACTGATGAGTACCTTGGAGGTCGGTACCAGGATCCCTGTCATTCACAGCATGTGTTAGTGATTTAGATGAGGGAACTAAAAGGTAATATCTCAATTTGCAGATAACACAAAACTGAGAGGAAGGGTGAGCTATGAGGAGGATGCAGAGATGTTGCAGTGTGATTTGACAGGCTCAGTCAGTGGGCAAATGCTTAACAGATGCAATATAATATGGATAAGTTTGAGATTATCCACTTTAGTAGCAAAAATAGGAAGGGAGAGGTTATTTGAATGGCAGTAAATTGAGAGGAGGAATGTTTGACGAGACTGGAGAGTCCTTGTGCAGTTATTGAAAGTAGGCATGCAGGTGCAGCAGGCGGTAAAGGCAGCAAACTGTATGATGTCCTTTGGAGCAAGAGGATTCAGGTACAGGAAATGGAGTGGTTATATGCAGGAGGGAGTATGTTCCCAAAGGTGTTTTTTTGTTGGGGGGGGGGGGGGGGGGGGGGGGG